GTGACGGGGATTCGAACCCGCGACTTGCAGATTGCGAGTCGAGCGCCCTAACTACCTGGCCATGCCGGGCCCAAGTGCAACAGAAAACTTGAGAGATGTTCCGGTTGCTATCGACAACGCCCAGCGGATCCACACTTTGTCTCCCGCAAACTTTACAATATTGCTGTAACGTTGTTCTTTCGTTGGTGGGTTCTTTTAAATTATCTGGTGAAAATAATTCATTGTCCAGTCCAAGTAACGATAACAAATTAGTTTATATATTCCTTTACATGGCAACTTGTATGTTTACAAATGACGGAAACCGCACTACACTCATGTAAAGAATAAATTCACTTGTACAACTTCACGGCTGAAACGAAACCAAAACACAGTGACTGACTCGCTCCACCGGCTTGAAACGACTCTAATATCTTGAAATAACTCTACAATCTTCACAACTGTCTCGGATTTACTAGAAAACTTGATGTCAAATGTTTTAGAAAGTCCTAGATATTCTAGGCCTATCTTATTAACTTTTCGATTATAGCGCCATCATCACGACCCGCATCTCCCTCTAGCAAACAAGCAAATTACAACATAAAAATATAGCTTATAGCAATATATACAAATCTAGCATTAGCAGGATGAAGCAATTAATTCAATCTGCGTCTACTTAGTTGAGGCATTCACCTACTTCTTCTTCGTCTTTTTTTCTTCAGTTGTAAATATTTATTTTTAAAGCATGCCACATCAGCGGTAAATGAGAAAGAGCACCAATTAACAATCATAAAAAATACCCAGGACCTCTTCATCCAGTCACTCTCACATATCTCAGTTAATCTGAATGGTAATTCAATTTCACAGCACGCGAATATGAAATACTGCAATGTGAGTAATGTCAAGTTGTTTTATTTTGCTGAATATATGAGATATCATCTACTGTTTGATCCAAGGCAAAAGTGTGTTTTTTTATGCTCAAGCGGCTTTGGATAGATATTACTACAGAATATAATTTAATGGAAAGTTCAGGTTCAAGATATTTGTAAATCGTATCACTTCACCGCATCCTTTCCGATCATTCGCCGATTTAGACAGTAAGAGCTGTAACATTTCTTTACTAATGTTCCTTTTTCTCTAGATCTACATCATATTTCTCACTAAATTATTAGTTTATTTCTTTTTTAGTTGATTCTGAAAACTAAGTAATTTAATAATAAGTATATATTGTTTGTTTGGAATTAAGCACAAAGCT